CCTGCCACTTTTCAAGACTGTCTCCCTCATCTCAAATCCTGTCCTTCCCCGGAGTAGTAGCTTCTCTTCAGTGGGACTCACACGCTTTCTCCAAGGCACACTCAGGGGTTTCATGGTTGCTGTGGGCTAATACCCCTGCAGAATTGAGTGTCCAAGTTGGAAGGAGACCACCACTCCCAAAATGACACTGATGGAGAGTGCGAAGGAAGGGGACCCTTGGACTCCTGCTCAGATTGCACTAGACTCCTGATTTAAATTTAAACATGATAGATAGGCTGGGCGTTGGTGGCACACGCCTTTAATCCCAGCACTTGGGCGGCAGAGGCAGGCGGATCTCTGTGAGTTTGAGACCAGCCTGGTCTACAAGAGCTAGTTCCAGGACAGGTTCCAAAACCACAGAGAAACCCTGTCTCGAAAAACCAAAATAAATAAATAAATAAACAAACAAACAAACAAACAAACAAACATGATAGATATTGCTTAATCTTTACTTCCCTTTCTAGGTTATAAGCACGCAGCATCCAGCCATTCTTCTGCAAACGCACATCATATAAACAGGAGAACAATTACAAGTCAGGCTGGGTCTAAATTTTTTTCAGAAAAGAAAAAAAAAGAAAAGAAAAGAAACCTTCCTTGTAGCTCTGTATTTTTCATTTGACAGAGAAGAAAGCAGCTTTTTCAGAAATTTTTGCATAAGATAATTGGAATTTCAATTTAATGACGCCCATGCCTAACTGGTTGGAAACGGTAATTGTTTTTAGCATATCAATCTCCCTCTTGAAGCACTGTTCTCTGACTGTTTCATCATCTGTCCCTCGGCAAGTGTTTATTGAATGTCTGTTCATTGCCGGCTTGGCAGCTTTGCGAGGCAGGTAGAAATTGAACAGTCAACCTTACTTTGACTAATGACTAAGCAAGGGGCCTCAGGAAAGTCCAGCAGTGGAATAAATGAGGGTGGGATAAATGTGACTGACAGCCTAATGACAGTCCGGGCCTGTGCAGCTCCACACCTGAGCAGTTCTGTCTTCATAGGCAGTTGTTAAAACTGTAATGTTCATGTCAGAAAACATGCTTTTAGCCGGGCACGATGGCACACACCTGTAATACTAGGAATCCAAGGTTTTTCTCAGGTACACTGTGAGTTCCAAGCCAGCCTGACCTACCGGGGAAGAACCCTTCCTTCCTTCCTTCCTTCCTTCCTTCCTTCCTTCCTTCCTTCCTTCCTTCCTTCCTTCCTTCCTTCTTTCCTTCCTCCCTTCCTCCCTTCCTCCCTTCCTCCCTCCCCTCCTTTCCCCTCCCTTCTTCCTCTTCTGCTTCTCCTTCTCCTCCTCTTCTTCCTCCTCCTTCTCCTCTTCCTCCTCCTCCTTTTTTTGAAATAGAGTCTCAGTATGTGTGATCCTAAGCTTGAACTCAAGTTCCTTTTTCTTCTACTTCTCAAGTTCTGAGATTACGTGTGTGCCCCTGTACCTGGCTAGATTTTCCTTCTATAAAGCATCCTGTCATTACTGCCAAAGGACTTGTCCTCTCATTGCCGTGTACTGTATGGTATTGCTCCCTTGTAGTCACCATAGCGGATTGCCTGTGGCTCTAGATCACATTTACTGGACCATCGCCCTGTGATTATAGCTTTCCTTCTCTTAGGAAACCCCTCCCCCAATTGTAGGACAGCCCTCTAATCTGTGCTTTTGGTTTCCTCCCCATGCTATTTTTCTCTTTCAGTGTGAATGACATCATAGCGGTTGGGCCAGCCCACTTCTATGCCACCAATGACCACTATTTCTCGGATCCTTTCTTGAAGTATTTGGAGACATACTTGAACCTACACTGGGCAAATGTTGTCTACTACAGTCCCGATGAAGTGAAACTGGTGGCAGAAGGATTCGATTCAGCCAACGGGATCAATATTTCACCCGACAAAAAGTACAGCTCCTTCCGCAGTATCTTCTGTTCTCCTACATAAATTGTCCTGATAAACAAATCCCTTAGGTTCCAATATATCCTATTTAATTTTATACGGAGCAAGATAGTTTTCCTATTAAATAACACTATAGAAGAATGACTTGATGTTTTTAAATAGAAGACAAAAGGAAAATTTTCAGGTTTTAAAACTCCTTCAAAACAAATTTTCTAACTAATTAATGTCATTCTACTGACTATATTATTCTATCATAAGGACAATTCTAAACTGGTTTAACCATTTTCCTGTTGATGGGTACTTGCTTTTCCTTATACAACCATTTTTTTTTGTTATTTCAGTGGCAAATATTGTGAAATATATATTCAATGAATATGTTTTCTTACAAACCTCTTGAAAACTAATTTAATACCCCATGATTGCTATAGCACCACTAAACTGATTTTGAAAGCCTTTTTTCTTTTAAAAACAAAAATAAAAGTTGACCTTTATCGATCATTTCTCTTGCGCATCCTGATGAAACCCTCAGCAGGTTTCAGGCCTTTCTCTTTCCTGCTGCATTAAGACATCTCTGTTAGCAGGAAGTGTTAACCAGTGTCTTTTCTAAACAGGTATGTCTACGTTGCTGACATACTAGCTCATGAAATCCATGTTTTGGAAAAACAACCTAATATGAATTTAACTCAAATAAAGGTAAGTATTTAGTTTTCTGTGTAGACGTTAATTGATTGTTCTATGTGCTATTCTAGCTGGGCTAACTGTAACAACATCACACTGAAACACAGCATGGGTACGGACAGGGGAGTCATCTATGTTTTTCAATATTCCCTCCCTCCAGCAAAACAAATCTGTTGGCAGCTGCCACTAGGACCGACAGTGATTGCAGCCAGCAGTGGATTGAGTGATATTGGCATCAGGTTTAGGACTGTCCTGTGAGGTATTGACAACATCTAATGAATCCCAATAAGACTTTTCACAGTTGAAAGAAATAGTTGAGTTTTCAAATGAAGATTTATGTGCATTCAGTTTTTTCAATAATAAATGAAGGTAGAAATTGATTTTCCCACCATTATTATTTTCAATAAACACATATTTTAGGTTGATTAAGAATTTCCTGTCTTGCTTTGATAGTTGTCCTTAAGCTAACTGATCATTGTGTATCTTTTAAAACAAAAGTTTGTTATTTTTATTTTTTGGACAGAGGGACTATCACCCTAGGTTTTGTATTTTCAGAGAAGATGAAGAATGGCTTTAAGCCAGTTCATTAAATTTATTTTAAGTGATATCAGTGTCAGAAGGGCAGGAGGAGCAGGGAAACGTGTTTAATGCCCCACATCCATAGGAACAGGAAAGGTTAGCTCTAAATTATTTAATCAGGTTGCTTGCATCAATTAGATATTGACATTATTTCTTTTTAAGGTTCTGCAGTTGGGCACGCTGGTGGACAATTTATCTATTGATCCTTCGTCGGGTGACATCTGGGTTGGCTGTCACCCTAATGGCCAGAAGCTCTTCGTGTATGACCCAAACCATCCTCCGTCGTCAGAGGTTTTTATATTTTGAGTTTTTCAACCTTAATTATTCAAGTCCTCTGAACTAATAATGCAATAAACTGTCACCAGGGTGATTTGTTAGTTCTTTGAAACCAATAACACGATAAACCTGGGAGGTAGTTTTGTAATTGCTTTAAGCCAATAATTGGCAGAATGTTACATTGTTCAAATGCTTTGAGAAAAGTAATCTTTTGATGAATTAAATTATGGTGGAAACTAGTCAAAAGTCATTTTTGTAAAGATACCAGTTCTGCTCATGTGGTATACTGGCAGTTTTAAAAATATCTGGTTTATTGTCAACTCGCCACATGACGTGAGCTTTGTGGAAGGAGTGTCAAAGCGAGCACAGTGGTTGGCGCCTATTTCCATCAATGCTGAAACGCTCTAATGACACAAAATCCTGTGTTGGCATGGCATGACTAGGTGCTTTAAAAAGTCCTTTCTTTGGAGGCAGGAGAAAGTACATTAATTTAAGCATTAAGGAGATTGGTCACTGCTGTTTGCAGCAGCATGCCTTCCTAATCATGTGTCTTTGGGGAAGACAAGGGATTATTGGTGTTTGAGTGGCATGGCTGTGTGGGGTTCTTTATTAATACTTCGTATCTCCTGCGTAGGTTCTCCGCATCCAGAACATTCTATCCGAGAAGCCATCTGTGTCTACAGTGTATATCAACAATGGATCTGTCCTCCAGGGAAGTTCCGTGGCGACCATATATGACAGAAAACTTCTTGTAGGCACTTTATACCAGAGAGCCTTATACTGTGAACTCTAAATTATAATTTTGGCATGCAAGTGCCATAAATTGTAGCAAAACAATCTTTTAATGAACTGCCAATTCTGAGGGAATTTAACCAACAGTACCAACCTAGGACTATACCACATACATAGTTCATTTTTTTCAATAAGGAAAGGCCCACAATTCTGATGCACTTTTGACATCAAAAGAAAATGACTGTTATTTTTTTAAATATTATTGTATTTTTTTTAAATGCCAATACAAGAACAAAGCTGTTTTTGAATAAAGTGAATGTGTTTTGCACTGAGGGACATCACTCCCCACCCTGTAGGAGCCCACCGGAACAGGATGTATTGTAAAGTCAGTGGCCCCGGTCCCCATGCTGGGACCGTTGTGCACGCTCAGGACTACTGATAGATAACAATGTGATGATCTGTACTTACAGGTCTGTTTATTCGCTTACAAGATAGAATTGCAGTCAAGACTAACCAAAATCCAGGTTTTGTTTCTGTTTAATTCCTGAAGTTTCTGTTTAATTCCTGAGAGTTACTCAGGAGAACAGGAAGGAAGGGACTTTCAAGGGATTTGGTTGGACAAGAGTGGCCATATTAATTTCTCACGAAAGCTGAATGTAATGAAGCTCTTCTATGGAAAAAATAAAATAAATCAACTGAATGTTATAGCTCAGAGTTTTATTTAGTCACCCTTTCTTTGAAGCAAAATCTCATCCCATAGCTCTGGCTACCCTGGAAATTGTTGTGCAGACCAAGGTGGATTCAAACTCACAGAGACCCACTGACCCGGTCCACAGATTGTCAATTCTTAAGGCATCTCCTGTAGGTTCTCTTCCTAAATAGAAGCCCACTTTCAATACAAAGAGGAGATAAAGGCTTGGAATTGACATCTTATATCTTACCTATTCAGTGAACAGAACTATGACAGAAGCCAGGAGAGGTGAGATGGGCTGTTCAAGCCTGCTTGGGTAGGTAGCACTATACTACATGAGGGCTAAGGGTGCCAAAATAACAGGAGGAACATTTTCCCCCCTCTATCTCCTAAAGAGACTTTAATATGCTTCTTTCTGTTGTCACACTTATTAAAACCTTATTATAAAGGACTTTCACATAAATCACCATTGTCACCTACAAAGTCATTTGCTTCACTTCCCCATCTTCCTCATTATCAATGAGAACTATTATTGACAGTTCTCAGATGCCCAGCCACTGGGAAGCGGCTAGTTCTCAGATGCCCAGCCACTGGGAAGCGGTTAGTTCTCAGATGCCCAGCCACTGGGGAGCAGCTAGTTCTCGGATGCCCAGCCACTGGGAAGCGGCTAGTTCTCGGATGCCCAGCCACTGGGAAGCAGCTACCCTCATTATTCCACTTAATCCTAATTGCAGCCTAGAGGGAATAGATGTCGATATTGTATCATTGTTAACCTTTCACAGCCGGTCAAGGTCACACACCTCCTGAGGGTGAACATCAATCTGCTTCTAATGCCAGACCCTGTGCCATTAGCAATTAGATGGAGCTACTGCCATAGAACCAGTGCTTCAGAGTTACCCAGTCCCTTGTGTATATAGTGTGTTCTGTCATGAGTTCTGTGCTGTGTTAAATGATTTAATGGCTTTAGGATGGAAATTGCAGAAGTATTCTTAAACTTGGTCTGTGATGCATTTAGCCTGTAATTTGTATTTATTTATTTCTGTTATTTATTATTTTATAGTTATTCTGTTAAGAATAAATTGGGGGTGTATTTCAGGCCAAGGAAGTGAATGCTTCTTGCTGCTTCTATTATGGGGAGGGGGAGTGTTCACAGATGAATAAGGTGAGATTAAATATTGTTTATCTAAGGGCACAACCCAAGAAAGAAATGTTTGCGATTTTAGGAGATGTTAACAATGGCTCTATATCTAACAGGACACATTAATAGGAAATATGAGTGTACAATAGATAACAAGTTGCTTTCCACTTAATTTATTCAAAGTCTCATTAGTACAAAAGTGGGTGTGTGTTAATGAGCACGTGCCTTGTCCATCTTAGGCAGACACTAAAGGTTTGAGTAAATCCTGACTTGGAGTATCAATGGGTATGAGGGATTACTTTATCAAACTGTAACTATAATGTATATTAATTTATGATGACCTTTTTATGATCGTATTCTGAGGGAAACGATGTGGCAATTAAGCCATCATTATCCAACGGGAACTGCAGCGGTGATTGGACACTACTAGGGGATACATTTGGGGCACAGGTTTTCTCTGTCTGTTTGTCTCCTCCCCTGCCCCCCCACCATGTTTGTGTGTGTGTGTGTGTGTGTGTGTGTGTGTGTGTAGGCCAGAGGAGAACAATCACACATCTTCTTCTATTGTTCTTCATTTTATTGCCTTAAGACAGGTGTCTTCACGAACCTAAACGTTTCTGTTTGAACTAGCACTGGTGTTCCAGGTAAGTCAGCTATGCCCGGCTTCTGTGTGGGTTTGGAGATTCCGACTCAGGACCTCTTGCCGATCGCCTGACCCACCCAGCCGCCTCTTCAGCCTTCGCTGACACTCTTCTCTCTTTTTGATGAAGCCTCGGCTCTTTTAGGAAACTGACATGAGTGCTTACTGTAAGGAGCAAGGAAACTTAGATAAGCTATGTGAATCCTCTTCGATTTCTGCATGGGTGGCTCACTCCTGGCAACTGCTCTCAAGACATCCTCTCCCTAGGTCTTGACTGCTCCGTTCCAGTGTGTGTTGAAGCTAGCCGACTGACTGGTGACTGCTGTGCAGGGAAGCCGTGGAGGAGTCACAGCACCAACCCAGCTCATCGGCCTTCCCGCAGCTTCTTGCACTTCTCATCCAGACACAATTTTCAAGAAAGAATCACTGCATGGGAGAAGAAAAGGCCCGGGAGATCACATTAATCTTCTTTTAGCTTTTTTTTGCTCTTGCTTTTCACAAGTTTTCTTTCAATGTGTTTAATTTTCATTCTCTTGTTACAAGAAGCGGGATGTGATTATGCGCTCCTTTAGTCTCAGAACTCTGAAGGCAGACTCAGGTGGATCTCTGGGAGTTCCAGGCCACCCGGGGCTATCTAGTGAGACCTTATCTGAATGAATAAATGAATGGATGGATGGATGAATAAAATATGCCCTGTTAGGTATGTAAGGAGAATTATATTATATTTCACTGAATTTTCTTGTCTTTAGTTTTCTTTAAAGACATTGGCCTTTTCCTATAGATGAGAATTCTTTTTGTTTTAAAATGTATTAGTCTCCCACAAAGCCAGGTAGTGCAGTAGGATCAAAAACCCATTGCCAATGTTCTTGAGTTCTCAGTAGTCCTCATTGTCCACTATGTTCATCGAGTCCAGTTTTATCCCAGGCTTTTTCAGATCCAGGCCAGCTGGCCTTGGTGAGTTCCCCATAGAACATCCCCATAGAACATTGTCTCAGTCTGTGGGTACACCCCTCGAGGTCCTGAGTTCCTTGCTCGTGCTCTCTCTCCTTCTGCTCCTGATTTGGATTTGAGATTTCTGTCGGTGCTCCTATGTGGGTCTCTGTCTCTGTCTCCTTTCATCTCCTAGGCAGTTTGGATGCTTACCTTACTAGACCTGGATGGAGGTGGGTGGTCCTTGGACTTCCCACAGGGCAGGGAAACTTGATTGCTCTTTGGGCTAACGAGGGAGGGAGGGAGGGGTACTTAATTGGGGGAGGGGGAGGGAAATGGGAGGCGGTGGCGGGGAAGAGTCAGAAATCTTTAATAAATAAATAAATAAAATAAAATGTATTAGTGTTTTTCATGCATGTATATTTGTGCACCACATGCATGCAACGTCCAGGCAGACCACTAAAAACATCAGACACCCTGGGTCTGGAGATACAGAAGGCTACAAGCAGCCATTTGGTGCTGGGGATTGGGCCTGGGTCCTCTACAAGAGCAGCCAGTGCTCTTGACTGCGGAACCACCACTCTGGTCAGTCCTGTATCAAACAGAAAAAAATTCCACTGCTGACTTTTAATAATAATTTTATCAGATATTTTTAGTATTATGTTTTGTAGTATTAGAGATCAAACTCGGGGCCTCATAACACTAGGCAAATGCTCCGTTAGCTACCCATGCTTCCAGACCTGCTATTCTTTTTTTTATTAAGAATTTTTTAATACAATCCTTCTCTTCATTTTACATCGCTATCCCTAGTCCTACTCTCTTTCCTCCTCCTGCTCCACCCGCCCCCCCCCATCCACTCCTCAGAAGAGGTAGGGCTTCCCATGGGTTAGAACTTGATATTTCAAGAAATTGTGCCTCTGGTTAGAACAGAAAACAAAATAAAATTTTAAACATTCAAAATATCAAGAGGATGGTATACATGGGAAATGCCATTGCTCCCCTCAAATCCCCCAGCTTCACTTAAAACAAAACCAGACCCAGTATCTCATTAAACTATCTAGCCCCAACTTGGCTTTGGATATTTGGTCTTCCTGTCCTAGCCTCCTGAGTGCTCAAGTTGATGCTCCTAACCACTAGTATTGAAAACTATACAACTGCTTATTAGTCTCCTAGTAATATTTTTGTAGGTGACAACTTTGATGAGTGGATAATGAAAATGGTTGCCCTAATTACTTTTCTGGGAGTTGAATGCCAAGTCTTCAGAACTTTTAACACTGGGGCCCCTACACTCTACACCCAGACCTGCTAAAGACTGCATGGTCATGTGTTCCATTAAGGGTCATGAAGACAGATACATTGACTATTGGTGGTCTTACTTCCAAGTCGCTTTCACCTGCTTCTTCATACCCTAAACATCCTCGTGCCCTTTCCCCAGGGCAGGCTCAATACCTGGGTCTGTTTGCTCTTTGGTTAGCTAGAGAATAAACTCTTGAAGGACATAAGCGATTAGCACACCATGTACTGGGTACAATGAGCTGCTGGGTGCCAAGATACCTCCTGAGGAAGAACTGATGCCATAACATTTTTCCTGAACCCAGGTCCTCTGCAGGAGCAGTAATTGGTCTTCACACTGCTGAGCCATTGTCCGTCTGTCCATCCCAATATCATGCAAAGTATTCTATATGACAAGGGCTACCTTCTTCTTGATATCTTTAGTCCTATAAAATCTTCACACTTGCCTTTGTTTACGAGCCACCCAAGCAGCAAGGAGATCTGGTCTGGGCACCAGTAGAGACATCATTGGGGTGAGTGAGTTTCTGACCACGGCAGCAGCCCAGGACAGAGAACTCAGAGGTTCCTCATCCCTCCTACACTTCCTGGTCATCCTCAGGGACTATACTGCCCGATACCTCTTCTCTCTTCCTATCCCACCCAGCTTGCATCCACAACCCTCCCCCCCTCCGTCTGACTCCCTCCCCTCTTTGACCACATAACATCTCCCAGCTCAGCCTGTTTGGGCTCTGGGACCGAATCCGAATCAGGAGGGCAAACAGGAGGGTGGTAGCTCCTTTGTCCCAATAGCCTGCCTGCAGCAAGCAAGGTAGGCCCTTTGTTTATGAGCCACCCAAGCAGCAAGGAGATCCGATCCGGGCACCAGGAGAGACATCGGGCTTGCATCCACAACCCACCAAGAGCAGTGCTGAGGAGATCCATCTGGACGGTCATCCATGTTTGGGTGCTGAGGAGTTCCAGCTTGACGGGACGGTCCCTGCTTCTACACTGAAGAGATAAACCCAGAGACTCATTCACAGCAAAGACTGGACCAAGACACCAGGCCTCTCCTGGCTCCATTTGAAGGAGGAGATGGGAAGGCGCCAATGCAAGACTTCCTCCAACAACCTGAAAGGCAACATGACTTCACCAGAATCAAGGGATCCCGAAATAAGAAGAATTGTACACCCTA